TATATATATATATATATGGCGCAATCATTTATATTCCCTCCTCCCTACCCTACGCAGAGTAGAAATGTTTAATACCATGGCATTTTAACCATCTGTAGAAAATCCGGAATAACCTTGTTAACTACCCTCTATTATTCATTTTCGTTATCGGCTCACCATCGCTGTCCCACAACCTTTGCCATTTCTGCCTCGTTTATTCTCCCCAACTGAGGATGAAATTATTTACATTTCTATTACTTTTCAACAAGCAACACATTTGGTTAGAATTTTTACTCTTCGATATCATCTCTCCCTGCCTGTTTACTTGTTTCTTCTCCTTCAAACTGTATTCCATTTTCATTATTAACTTTTCAATCTTCTTCGTCAACCACTTCTTCTTACTCACACAGTCCTCTTCGTCGTAGTCTAAGTAATTATCTTCTTAACAGTCTTCACTTCACACATCACCATCAACACCATTTTCTTCATCACCATTTTCACCACCTCATCATGTTGATCATGTCCATCCCCCTCCTCATCTGTCTTATGTGTCTTCATCTCATTGCCCACACTTTTGAATTGCATTTACTCTTTCTACGTTTTGTACGCTCGCAGTTTTGTTCAACCGAGGCGTCCGCGTTCGTTCCTTCGGCGCTCCCTCCCCCTCCCCCTCACCGCCCCCGCCCACCTGACCCAACCCACCGCACGCCCTCTGCGAAACTTGTACCCGCCGACCTCCCCACCCACCGACCCGCCCACCGAACAGCCCAATTACCACCGCCCCCGCCACCGCTCTGCCTATTTCATCACAAACCACCCACCATTCCACCCAGCATCCGCCTTCCGCTTCCGTCCACCAAACCGCCCACCGCACCCCCACTTTTACACCACAGGCAGCCTCCACCACCCACTACTGCACTATCATCGTCACTAAACATACCGCACCGCTTTACTGTTTCGCCATACGCGCAATTCCGCTGCCACCAAAACGCCCACTGCACCACCACTTCACTATCCACCTCGCAACGCGCACCAACCGCCCATCTAACCGCCCTCTGCCACTGCTTACTCTTCAGTACTCCTCCGCACCGGCTTCTTCTCGCCTGCCGCTAAGCTGCTTCCGATTGATCCCATTTTGCATCCGGCTTCGCTTCACATCTCGTGCAG